TTCAAAGAATGACCTCAATGAAGCTATAAAGATCATTCAAAGTATTCCATTATTTAAGATCACATCAAGGAAAACAATGGATACAAAGAAGACTTGAAGTTGCAAGAACCAAATGCAAAGTCTATCCAAAGATAGCTTGGACTATAATGAGCAAGCAAGCAACTCAAAGAAAGGAAGAAAGCAAAAGTACCTCAAAGCTTAAATGATCATGGACAAAGCATGAAGAAAGGGGTAGATAGGTTGGTGAGTGTTTAGGATTCAATGTCAAGGTATTTATGAATCCATTTGAAACTTATCTCTATAGGATCATGCATATCAATTATCATTCATATATTACTATATTCATTAGCAATAGACTATGCACTTGATACATATATATTTGCACACGAAGTCATTACTAAAGAATGAGTTAGTTCAAGCTTGCTTAAGCTTTGAAAGAACTCATCACTTGTGTTAGAAATGTTAAGACCATGCACATCAATTACATAATTCACTTTGGTCTCTAGAAAGTAAATGCTAAGGCTTAGAACATATTTGCTCATCTATAAAGCCTTCATTAAAATGACTTGGTAATGGACTTTAGGACCTAATATCTGCCTGATGAAAAACTGTCTTTTTGACTAAGTATGAAAAATGGCTAAGTGTGAAAAATGAATTTTTGAAATAATGATTATTTCAAAATAATTTTTCCCGGTAATAACTCTTTATACTTCAAATAGCCTAAACTGATTTTATGGGATTTTTTCATCCATTTTACATTGGTCTACATAAGGATTCATTTTTATCAAAACTATCGGAAATCCAAATTTGTACTAAAACTGAATTTCTACATTTTGATTTAGTTGGATTTCAATTTTCTTATATTTTTTATTGAATCCAAATGGGGGGTACTTCCTTATTTACATTGTAAACTTAAAGTAAATGGACTGAAAAACTGTCAACAATTTTTTTCTTGGCCAATGATGTAACCGGTTAGGAGAAACTATGTAACCGGTTATCTTCACCTAAACAGAATGTCACTTCTCTTGGCCAATTATGTAACCGGTTAGGAAGCCCTTTGTACACGTGTAGTTGATCTAAAACTAAAAAGGTCTTCTAGCTGATGTAACCGGTTATGAGACCTTATGTAATCGTTTACCTTCACTTGGACAAAATACACATCTTATAAAAACCATCTTGTAACCGGTTAGGAAAGTCTTTGTAACCGTTTACTTACACTAAAGCAGAAAAGATCATTTTTCACATTGCAATTGTTGTAACCGGTTAGGAAGAAGCTTGTAACCTTTTAGTTGAACTAAGCCAGAATAATGTCTTCAATCATTTGCATTCAAGTAACTGGTTAGACAACTTGTAACCAGTTAGATATGATATGAATCTCATCTACTTGAGTAGTTTAAGCCTTGTAACCGGTTAGATGAATGGGCAGAAGCTTCCCAACGGCTATTTCAACCATTTGACTTCCTGGGAACTTACCATAATGCCCCCAAACGGCTATATTCTTTCAAGGGCCTATAAATACACAATGTAAGGACATTGTGGGTATGCAAGAGAGCCAAAACTTGAGAGATCTCATAAGGCATAAAGGAGAGCTTTTGTTCTCAGATTTTTCTCCTCATCGCTCTCATTCATTTATATACATACTTGAGAGATTCAACTAAGGATCAAAAGAGCTTTTGCTCTATTCTATACTTGAGAGATTCTATTGAGTTCATAAGAGCATTTATTCTTCACTTATATCATTTTCTCTCATTATATCATTCATAGAGTTTGAGCTTCATTGATATTCATATATACTCTAGTTGAGAGCTAAATTTGTATATCTATCTTGAGAGAGATTCAATCTTGTATTTCAACCACAAACTTTTCTACAAACTTGTAAGGGTTGGTGTGACCCAAAAGAAGCTTAGGAGAAGGGTGTTCTCCTAGTAAGAAAGAGAAGCAAGGAGTTGCTTCATGTAAAGGTTTGCTCTCCACCCGTAAGGAGAAGCCATAGTAGATTGGGAAATCTCAAGAGGGGTCTTGAGCCGAGGAGTAGGAGTTTTCGAACCTCGCTAAAATCGCCGAGTCATTGTTTGCAATTTCTCTTCCTTATCTCTTTTACAATTGTGCTATTAATTGTTTACTTTCATATCTTGAATATTGCATAATTGCTTAAGTAGTTGATTAGAAATTGTAAATCTATAAATTACGAAAATTGGCCATTGACTCTATTCACCCCCCTCTAGAGTCAATCCTTGGGCAACAATTGGTATCAGAGCCTAACTCTATTTAAAGAACTTAATTGTCTTAGAGTACGATCATGGCCAACAATGGTAGTATCACACACTTAGAAGGATATTGCAATGATCAACCTCCTTGTTTTGATGGAAATGATTATATCTATTAGAAAATTAGAATGAAAGCCTTTCTAAAAAGTGTTGATATTGATTTGTGAAAAGTTGTTGAAAATGGTGATCATATCCCAACCAAAATTATTGAAGGGAATGAAAATCCTAAATAAAAAAGTGAATGGGATGAAAATGATCATAGATTAGTTAAATGTAATGCTTTAGCCATATGTTAACTTTATTGTGCATTAAGCAAAAATGAGTTCAATAAAATTATCTTTTGTAAAACGGCTAAAGAAATTTGGGAATTGCTTGAATTAGCCTATGTTAGATCAAGTCATGATAAGGATTCAAATATAAATGAACCCTCTAGCATAAATGAAATGCATTTTTGTTTTACTAACATTACTAATCATTTGAATGTTATTGATAGAACTAACTCATCCACCTATAGTGAAGAAACTGACGAAATGCAAAAGAAGTGTATAGCTCTCCAAGTTTCTAGCAAAGAAGCAAGTAACATCAAAGAGGTGGTTAATCTATGTCTCATGGCCAATGAAGATGAGATAAATTCTAATCATAAATCTTTTGATTTAGAAACTTCCTATAATGAATTAGTTGATGAGCACAATGAATTACTTGATGTGTTTAAAGAGTTACAAGGTGTGCTAGAAAACATGCTTGTGAAATGTGCTTCCTTTAAAAAGGAAAACCATGATCTCCTTCGAAGACATGAAAAAGTTCAAATGGAAAATGACTCTTTGAAAAAAGAAAATCATTATCTTATGCAAAAATTAGAAAAGATTCAAATTGAAAATGAGTCATTGAAAAATGAAATGAAATGTGTATTCTCTAAAGAGTCTTCATCAATTGATCTTATTTCCGAAAATGAGTCTTTAAAGAAAATTATTGATGATCAAAATGACATTTTAGCAAAGTTTACCAAAGAAAAGGAGAATTTGAGTACTATGCTTAGTAAACAAAGAAATGTCTTTTTCAAAAATGGGATAGGATATGATTCTTACAATAATGATGTATGTTTATTGACAAAGAGAAAGTTCTTAAATGATTCATTTGGCAATAGTTATTTTCAATATTCTAAATGCAATTATTGTAAAAAGTTAGAACACATAATTCAAAATTGTCCATTTAGAAAGAGGATAAGGACTAAAAGAATTTGGGTTCCAAAAGGAACTTATGAACCATTATCTAACTCTCATAGACCCAAGAAAAAGGATGTGCCATTATAGCTGTATATGTTGACGATCTAAATCTTGTGGGAACTCCTGAAGATCTCACCACGACAGCTAATTATTTAAAGAAAGAATTCGAAATGAAAGATCTTGGTAGAACAAAATTTTGCCTCGGCCTGCAGATCGAATATTTACCAAGTGGAATTCTTATTTATCAGTTAACATACACTGAAAAAGTCCTAGCACTTTTATATTGATAAAGCTCACCCCTTGAGTTCTCCAATGATTGTCCGATCACTTGATATTAAGAAAGATCATTTTCGTCCTCTGGAAGAAGGCGAAGAAGTTCTTGGTCTTGAAGTACCATATCTTAGTGCAATCGGTGCTCTAATGTACCTTGTAAATTGTATCAGAGCTGATATAGCATTTGTAGTCAACTTACTAGCATGGTATAGTTCTCCACCAACTCGAAGTCATTAGAATGGGGTCAAACACATTATGCGTTACCTTCGGGGAACGACTGATATGGGGTTGTTTTATTCAAGAAAATCAAAGCCCCAATTGATCGGATATGTAAATGTAGGTTATCATTCTGACTCACATACAGCCCGATCATAAATAGGGTACTTGTTTACTTGTGGTGATATTGCTATATCATGGCGATCTATGAAACAGACCATGACTGCAACTTCCTCAAATCACTCTGAGATATTCGCAATTCATAAAGCAGGTAGAGAGTGTGTTTGGTTGAGATCTGTTATACAACATATTCGAGAATCATGTGGACTCTCCTCAATCAAAGATAGCCCAACAATAATTTATGAAGATAATATAACATGTATTGCACAGGTAAGAGGATGATACATAAAAAGTGACAGAACCAAGCACATTTCACCAAAATTCTTTTCCACACACGAGCTCCAGAAGAGCCGTGATATTGATGTTCAGCAGATACGCTCGAGTGATAATCTAGCAGATTTATTCACTAAAGCGCTCCAATTATAACATTCAAGAAGTTAGTGGACAACATTGGAATGCGTCAACTAAAGGATATTCAGGGTTGAACTAACGAGGGGGAGCAATTGATCAAAGAGGTATTGGCATGCTGTATTATTTTTTCTTCGTCCAGGTTTTGTCCCACTGAGTTTTCCTGGCAAGATTTTAATGAGGCAGTTTTAATCTATACAATACCATACACAAGAATACTGTACTCTTTTTCCTTTACTAGGGTTTTGTCCCACTGGGTTTTTCTTAGTAAGGTTTTAACGAAACATATTCTTAGTGTAGTTTTGTGAACCCCAAAGGAGAGTGTTATGTATATATCTATAAATGTGTGGGGTCCTTAAATATGATCACATTTTGAAGACATCCTTAGTGGCGTACAGAGGAAGCTAAAATTTAAGCCTATAAAAAGCTATGCCTATGTACTTATAGAGACACTTCTCTCTCTCTCTCTCTCTCTCTCTCTCTCTCTGAAAGCTTCTCCATTTTCTCATTGATAGTATTCTCTCTCTCTATAGGTATATAAACACATATATTTGTTTTTTTGGGGGCCAAGAGGGGTTTATTTACAAAATAACAGTTTATTTACAAAATAACAGTTTTTTTAGAGGGTATTAAAAAAATTTGGAGGGGCAACCCTAGCCCTGCTTCCGCCGCTGGCCAATATATATGTGTGTGTGTATGGTGTGGGTTTGCAAAAAAGAAGTGAAAAACAGAGAAGTGAATAAGAGCTTTGTTTCTCTGACTCTGTTTCTCCTTCTGTTTATTGCTTTAGTTAAATATCTCTTTCACAGAGAAGTTTTCAATCATCTTATATGGTTTCTTATATATCTATAATACGTTATAGCACGAAATCTTTTCTCTGGATAATTGAAAAAAAAAAAAACATCTTTTCAGTTAGCAAGATTCGTGCTGATAACGTATTATAAATAAAGAAGAAATCAAGAACAGAGCAGACGAGCTGAGCAACCAGAACAAGAGCAAGAAGAAGGTAAGAGTGCAAAATTAAATATGTAGATATATATGTTGACTTTTGTATTTTTGGAGCCTGTCTCCTTTCCTATTTAAATAACGGCTCTAACCCTTTCTCTCTCTAACCGATCGTCGACAACAGCTCCGACTTCAATCTCGGCCCTAACCCTTTCCCTCCCTCACTCTCCGCACTCTTTCTCTCCCTACTCACCGGGGCCCTACGACGAGGATCCGCCGTCCAAGCCGCCGACGCTCTCCTCACCTCCAACGCCGAGGTTCGATCCAAATTCTCCCACCGTCGCCCGAATCAACGACGGCAGCTTCGTTAATCCGATCTCTCCACAGCCTCCACTCAGACCTCAACAAAAACGATGACTATCATGCAGTGATGGCAGGAGGGTTCAAGGTTTGATTTTCCGGCGAAGGTTGTTGTGGTGAGGTGATGAATTTGGGTATTGGATAATTGGGTTTTGTGGGTTTGTTTCAATCTGGGTTTTGCAAAGGTGAGGGTGATTTATGGTAGGTGTAGGTTGCGGTTGTGGTTTTTCCTTTTCTCTTTTGTTTTGACATTAGAGAGTGTTTGGTTTGTATGTTTTGTATGTTTGGTCATACATCAATTACAAGAGATACGAAGATGAAGCATCAAGATTAGAGTAAGAGAGAAATGGGTTTCTTTCTTTGTGTGCATAGATTTAGCCACAGATTTCAACAAAAATTATTTCAGCTGATTAATCAAGTGGGTCCAAAAGGACCAGAATCCTCTCCTGTGCAACAGGAGAATCTGTTTCCTCCGGTTTTCATTGCAGCAGTCGTAAAAAGGGCCAAACAGTACTTTGGTTAAAAAAGGTACACAGCGACACATATACGAACAATACACATATAAAAAATTATACATACATACATACATGAAATTTTTCCTATTGAAATTGAAGCGGCAAATTAAAAAATCCAAAACAGATTTAGAGAACATCGGCGGAGAAGAGGAAGGCACAATTGCGAATCGGACCTTCTAAATTTCTAATCTTGTTTCTTTTCTTCTCTTCCGATTTTTCTTCCTTCTTTCCAAATTTACAATTTCTTTCCAAACATTTCATTAAATGTCGGAGAAGAGGAAGGTACAGTGATGAAGGTATGTTCTTAATCTGCTTTCTTCTTCTCTCCCTAAATATAGAATGAAATACAATTTATCTTCCCAAAAAAGTCTCAGCTTTCCTTAATTTTGTTTTTTCCAAAATTACAATTTGTTTGGAAATGTTTGATTGGATGTGGGGAAGAGGAACCTTCAGTGTCGGAGAAGAGGAAGCTACAGTGACGAAGGTATGTTCTTAATCTGCTTTCTTCTTCTTTCCCTAAATATAGAATGAAATACAATTTGTCTTCCCAAAAAAGTCTCAGCTTTCCTTAATTTTGTTTTTTCCAAAATTATAATTTGTTTGGAAATGTTTGATTGGACGTGGGGAAGAGGAACCTTCAGTGTCGGAGAAGAGGAAGCTACAGTGACGAAGGTATGTTCTTAATCTGCTTTCTTCTTCTCTCCCTAAATATAGAATGAAATAAATTGTCTTCCCAAAAAAGTCCCAACTTTCCTTAATTTTGTTCTTTTAAAAATTACAATTTGTTTGGAAAGGTTTGATTGAATGTGGGGAAGAGGAACCTTCAGTGTCGTGTGTTTGGTAATTCTTGAACTGTTATTAAACTGTGAAAAATTAAATGAGAAATTGTGAAAATTATATGATTAAATTGTGTAAAAGTTGTGATATTCTGTATTAGAAGTTATGTTATGTTTTAAACTTCAATTTAAGATATTAGAATAAAATATCCATTGTATTCCTGTAATGCAGTGTTTTATTCGTGATAAATACTACAATATATTTGGGATATTCTGTATAGTAAGAAATGGAGCTTTTACACTTCCAATTTAATATGTTAGAATAAATTTTTCATTGTATGAAATGTAAGTTCCCATTGACAGTTATGATTGTTCATTATAAATAACTCACCTTGGTTGTAATGTTTCTCAAAATAAGCCCAAGACCTTCCCATCATTTCCCACTAACTAATGCTCCCACATTTCATCATTGTCAGTTAGACAAGTGGGAAAAGTAAAGAAACAAATAAACAATGAAGTAAAAAAAATACTTCTTGACTAAATAAGTATATTTCAATATCTTAGAAAGTTTGATATATATATATATATCAATAAAAGAGTGAAGGAGAACTAATGTAGATTCTTTTCAGCACAACGTTTTGTTCTTGTTGTTGTAACAGTGAATTGGATTTGAATAGTTGGCTTGCTCATGTCCTTTTGACCCTTTATTTCCATGTTCCCCTGTTTTTTCATCTTTGGGAAGAAGTGGTCAGTGGGTTTTGAATTACAAACTCACTGTGTCACAGTGTGTGTGTGTGTGTATGTGTGTGAGAGAGAGACAGAGACAGAGACAGAGAGACAGAGAGAATGGGTTGTCTGGGACTTTAAGTTGCAAAGAAGGCAATGTGGCTCTATCTTTTCTGTCATGGGTTTTAATCGTTGTGAGAGATGGGGGTACTATGCTTGCTACTCCAATACATTTGTCTATGTCTTTGGGTATGTATCTTTTTTTAAAATTAGAGAAATAAAATTTTTATTTTATTTTTTTCTTCTGATTATTCATTAATAATAATGCTATTTGGAGTGTTTTTTCTTTGATCATGATCTTTGGATTCCTTTTGTTATTTTACTTAATTTACTCTATTACTATCTGTGTGGTAGCTTTCATGATGTTCTCTGGTTATTTATATTATTAGTATTATTCTTATTATTTTTTATGTATTTAGTTTTGAGTTTTGGGTTAAAATTTATTCTCTTTTTTGTTCTAGGTTGTTGGTATAGTTATCTTTAGCTAATAACATATGCACTTTCTACAAATGTTTTAGTTTTTTCCTATTCTCTCTTTAATATTTGTTTGTTGTTGGTTTGTCTTTGTTTGAATTTCTCAAATTAGTTGGGATGTTGATCGGTTGCATGATTAGCTGCATTCCACTACTACTCTTGGTTGCATGACATGAAAATGTTTTTCCAATTCGTATTGTTGTTTCTTCTTCTACCCCTAACTTAACATGGTTGTAGTGTTTCTCAAAATAAGCCCAAAGAAGTTTGCAAGTTCATATTTGATTTGGAAAAAGTGAAATGAATAATTGAACACAGTTGTAATTTTTATGAAAATAGAAGGTCCAAAAAGGTTTTCCCTACCCTGATACATTATACTATCTTGAATAATGGTAGTAGGTCAGAAAATATTTCCAATTAATAATCCATACCTGCAACACAACCCTTCATTCAAATGTATTTTTTTATATATTGTAGGTTTCTGATTTCAATTATAAAATGGAAAAGGTATTAAATAACATCGAAGACACCACATATACAGAAAACGCTCCTATTGCAGGGGCAGGTGTAGTAGAATGGAAACCAAGAATAGGTATGAAGTTTGAAACTGAGGAAGAGGCATATGATTTCTATAATTCATATGCCGGTCGAGTCGGTTTTAGCATCCGCAAAGAGTATTTTAATAAAAGCAAGAAGACTGGTAAACTGTCATCAAGATTGTTAACATGCTGCAAGGAGGGTTTCAGGGGTGACGACATTCGCGACAGTAATACAAAGACTCCCAGGGCCAAAACACGAACTGGTTGCCCTGCTCGAATGCTTATACAAGTTTCCAAGTATACGCATAAGTTGGAAGTTACAAAATTTGTTGAAAGCCACAACCATCCATTGATGATTGATGAATGCATGCACATGTTGCCATCCCAGCGTAGAATTAGCCGTGTTCAGGCTATTGATTTGGAATTGGCTCTGATTCAGGAATAAGCCCTCGCAATTCATATGAGTTGATGGGAAGGCAAACTGGTGGAAAACAATCAATCGGGTACATGAAGTTAGATTTACTAAACCATATAAGGTCTCGAAGACAAACTGAGCTCGAATATGGAGAGGCAGCATGGCTAATGAATTATTTTGAGACTCAGTCTTGTGAAGATCCATCTTTCTTTTATGCATTCCAATTGGATAGTGATCAAATGATCACTAACATATTCTGGGCTGATTAAAAAATGATAGTTGATTATTGCAATTTTGGAGATGTTGTAAGTTTTGACACAACATACAAAGTTGTACATGGCAACTGTCCATTTGGAAGTTTCTTGGGGTTGAATCATCACCGGGAGACCGCTGTGTTTGGAGCAACATTCATGTATAACGAGACTGCAGAGTCGTTTATGTGGTTGTTTGAAACATTTTTTAAAACAATGTCTGGTAAAGCGCCAAAGACGATCTTCACTGATCAAGATGTTGCAATGGGAAATGCATTGACGCAGGTGATTTTAATTCAAATCTCCACTCTTTGCATTTCCAAATTTTAATTGAGTAGTTGGGCGTGGTACATGTTTTTACGTAGTTATATTACAGAAAAGATTTTTTGCAGGTGATGCCAGGGACAAACCATTATCTGTGTGTTTGGCACCTAATGCAAAATGCACAGAAGCATCTAGGGTTGTTTAGATGTGCACAAGGCTTTAAGAAGGTGTTATCAAAATTAATGTTTGAAATTGAGGAGGAGGAAGAATTTACCAGGGAATGGAATATAATGATAACGGAAAATGGTGTTGTTGGTAACACATGGCTTACAAATCTCTTTGCTTTGAAACATAGATGGGCTATGGCATTTATTAAACATACCTGGTCCGCGGGTATCCACAGCACACAACTGAGTGAAAGCTTCAATGGTTGCTTGAAGGCGTACTTATCCAGGCAACTGATTCTTCTAGATTTCTTCACATATTTTGAAAGGCTGTTGTCCGACAAGCGTTACAAGGAGTATGTAGCCGAGTATGGGTTGCTCCACAATCTACCTCAACTAAAAACAAACTGTAACATATTAGTAGAGGCGACAAACCTGTACACAAATGTTATATTTAATATTTTCCAGGAGTAGTTCTTAGCAGCTGCTGCCAGTTAGAGGATCATTGGTTGCAGTCCCATCGATGGCAACGAAGGCTATGTTTACAAAGTCGTTGGTGAGGATGGAATGCAACGTGACGTGAAGAGGACAGCAGAAGATGAATTGTTATGTTCTTGTTGTAAATTTGAAAGGGAGGGTATTATGTGTAGGCATAGTTTAAAAATCCTAAAGGACTCCATGTTCGCCAATACATTGCCTCGTCGATATATATTAAAAAGGTGGAGTAGAACTGCAAGAGATGGCAGCTTGGAGGAAAATTTTTCTGGTGAAGTGATTGCTAAAGCTGATCCAAAAATTGAGGTTAGGAGATGGCATAGGGTACTTTGTCGTATTCTGACTGAAATTTCGTCCATTGTATTGGAGGATAAGGACGGATACAACGATTTATTAGTGAAAGCCATGGAGTGGAAAAAAATTGCCTAATCAAGTTGTAAGTGTAGGTTTGCTGAGAGGAATGGAATTTATACTGGTGGTAAAGGCAGAAACCAATATTTCGGCATGAACAGAAATACTGACAAAATCCCCAATGGTCTCAAGTGTAAAGATACACGGAAAGAAAAATTTAAGAGGTTAAAACCGACCATGGAGCTAAAGAGTCGCAATAAGATGAAATCAATGAAACAAATAGTTCAGCTTCAAGTACTTTTATCCCCTTACTGTTGTCCATGTAGTTTCATAAGTAATACCAGTTCTGTGTATTAAATTATGCATACGTAATAATTCTCATAATTATGTTGTAGAATTGCAATGAAGCCCTTCAATCAGGAGAGGCAGGTGGCAATAGTCATAGTGGAACAATCCCCTACTACGTGTTAGTGAATGTGAGTATTGTTACATAACTATTTTCAGCACATTGCTTAACATTTGTTTTATGTTATTCCACCCCCCCCCCCCCCAAATGATAGGTGTGTATTGAATATAAACAAATAATACATGGAGAGAAATGATGGCATACCCTCATGAAAACAAAACATAGTCCTAAAAATGTTTCCCTCTCAAACACCTAAACTACTAAGCAATGGAAAGTTACAAAATGACTTGGATATGAACTCCCATCACATCTAAAACCTCCCATAAATTACATTTATCTAGATCCTTAGCTACTCTTGCAATCTTGTCATACAATCTGTTTGAACTTGTTTATAACTTAGGTAACACCTTGCTGCCAATGCAAAGGGTTGTTGTTGGAGGTATTCCTGACTAATAACTGGTCTTTGCATAACTAAGACTGAATGAATAGATGATGTAGCTCCACCCCCAGTCCAACATAAGGCAGCCCAATCCACCTCTTCAATTTTCCCTATTGCAGCTTCCCATGTTACTTAACATGTTCATTATGGTTAGAAGTTAATATGTGGTCAAATGTTTTACAACCTTTATTTTGTAGGGCTGTGAAATTCCAATTGAATTTCTCAATGAAGAAAGTTATGTGACGCCACCACAACGTGTAATGCATTACAGAAGGTTTTCGCAACCGCTTGCTGAACTAACTACTACATTAAATATTCAGACAAGTTTGCTGTTAAGGTGGAACCAACATATAAATTGCAATATACAAAGTTCCATAATTCTTTAATTGATTGTTTATAATATATCCTGAAAAATATATAATGTTGCAGACCTTTGTTGCTGATTCATGCAATTCTAATACCAATTATTCACATGATGATTGCTTCACTGATGGTTTCAGAAGTAATAAGGTACATAGTTGTCCTCATCAACATAATTCGTACCAGTTTAATTTCTTATTGAATTTTATTCTCTGTTGTCATGGTATCTAATTTGATTACATTTTGTGGCATGATCATTTTGAAAGATAGCAAATTTAAACAATTGCGAATCGAGTGTGAGACGAATGTCCCAAATGCCAATCGAGGAGATGGACCGATCAATTGAATGACTCTTTTATAGTTTACAATCATTTCTGCTTGTATTTCACATTGTTTTAACTTATTTTGTTTATTTAACTCTGCTTAATTGTTGTTGGGTTTTATAACAATATGGGGGGGGGGGGGGGGTTGGGCAAATTTGTATAATTTTCTGTATTATGAAAATGCATAATAAGTGGTTTTCATCATTTCTTATGAAATATTAACTCTTGACTTATGAGTCTGACTCAAGTATTTGAATTGATGGAAATGCATTGAAAATATTTGCAAGGGCCAAATTAATAGAATACAAATGCAACAACATTGTGATCCACTTATGCAAATACATACGTAACATCTATTCTATTACTTATATACATATATTCCTTATAATTTATGTCAAACATCCAAATAATTTTCTAATATAAGTCTGAACAGATCAATTTATGCAAATACATATGTTTTATTTATGGTTATATTTTTTTAGCTAATTTCGTTACAATTTTATAAAAATCATCCCAATTAATTTGTAAGACAATGTCCAAGCGTCAAACGAAAATCATCCAAATATAAGTCTCAACAGATCAATTTATGCAAATACATATGTTTTGTTTATCGTTATATTTTTATACATAATTTCGTTACCATTTTATAGAAATCATCCCAATTAATTTGTAAGACAATTTCCAAGCCCCAAACGAAATTCATCCAAATATAAGTCTCAACAGATCAATTTATGCAAATACATATGTTTTGTTTATCGTTACATTTTTATACATAATTTCGTTACCATTTTATATAAATCATCCCAATTAATTTGTAAGATAATTTCCAAACCCCAAACGAAATTCATCCAAATATAAGTCTTAACAGATCAATTTATGCAAATACATATGTTTTTTTTATCGTAATATTTTTATACATAATTTCGTTACCATTTTATAGAAATCATCCCAATTAATTTGTAAGACAATTTCTAAGGCCCAAACGAAATTCATCCAAATATAAGTCTCAACAGATCAATTTATGCAAATACATATGTTTTGTTTATCGTTATAGTTTTATATATAATTTCGTAACTATTTTATAGAAATCATCCCAATTAGATTTTAAGACAATTTCCAAGCCCAAACGAAATTGATCCAAATATAAGTCTCAACAGATCAATTTATGCAACTACATATGTTTTTTTTTATCGTAATACTTTTATACATAATTTCGTTACTATTTTATAGAAATCATCCCAATTAATTTGTAAGACAATTTTCAAGCCCCAAACGAAATTCATCCAAATATAAGTCTCAACAGATCAATTTATGCAAATATATATGTTCTTTTATCGTAATACTTTTATACATAATTTCGTTACCATTTTATAGAAATCATCCCAATTAATTTGTAAGACAATTTCCAAGCCCCAAACGAAATTAATCCACATATAAGTCTCAACAGATCAATTTATGCAAATACATATGTTCTTTTATCGTAATACTTTTATACATAATTTCGTTACCATTTTATAGAAATCATCTCAATTAATTTGTAAGACAATTTTCAATCCCCAAACGAAATTCATCCAAATATAAGTCTCAACAAATCAATTTATGCAAATACATATGTTCTTTCATCGTAATACTTTTATACATAATTTCGTTACCATTTTATAGAAATCATCCCAATTAATTTGTAAGACAATTTCAAAGCCCAAACGAAATTCATCCAAATATAAGTCTCAACAGATCAATTTATGCAAATACATATGTAATACTTTTATACATAATTTCGTTACTATTTTATAGAAATCATCTCAATTAATTTGTAAGACAATTTCCAAATCCCAAACGAAATTCATCCAAATATAAGTCTCAACAGATCAATTTATGTAAATACATATGTTCTTTTATCGTAATACTTTTATACATAATTTTGTTACCATTTTATAGAAATTATTCCAATTAATTTGTAAGACAATTTCCAAGCCCCAAACGAAATTCATCCAAATATAACTCTTAACAGATCAATTTATGTAAATACATATATTTTTTTTATCGTTATATTTTTATACATAATTTCGTAACTATTTTATAGAAATCATCCCAATTAGATTGTAAGACAATTTCCAAGCCCGAACGAAATTCATCCAAATATAAGTTTCAACAGATCAATTTATGCAAATACATATGTTTTTTTTATCGTAATACTTTTATACATAATTTCGTTATTATTTTATAGAAATCATCTCAATTAATTTGTAAGACAATTTCCAAACCCCAAACGAAATTCATCCAAATATAAGTCTCAACAGATCAATTTATGCAAATACATATGTTCTTTTATTGTAATACTTTTATACATAATTTCGTTACCATTTTATAGAAATCATCCCAATTAATTTGTAAGACAATTTCCAAGTCCAAACGAAAATCATCCAAATATAAGTCTCAACAGATCAATTTATGCAAATACATATGTTTTTTTTATCGTTATATTTTTATACATAATTTCGTTACCATTTTATAGAAATCATTTGTAAGACAATTTCCAAGCCCCAAATGAAATTCATCCAAATATAAGTCTCAACAGATCAATTTATGCAAATACATATGTTTTGTTTATCGTAATACTTTTATACATAATTTCGTTACCATTTTATAGAAATCATCCAAATTAATTTGTAAGACAATTTCCAAGCCCCAAACGAAATTCATCCAAATATAACTCTCAACAGATCAATTTATACAAATACATATGTTTTTTTATCGTTATATTTTTATACATAATTTCGTAACTATTTTATAGAAATCATCGCAATTAGATTGTAAGACAATTTCCAAGCCCAAACGAAATTCATCCAAATATAAGTCTCAACAGATTAATTTATGCAAATACATATGTTTTTTTTATCGTAATACTTTTATATATAATTTCGTTACTATTTTATAGAAATCATCTCAATTAATTTGTAAGGCAATTTCCAAACCCCAAACGAAATTCATCCAAATATAAGTCTCAACAGATCAATTTATGCAAATATATATGTTCTTTTATCGTAATACTTTTATACATAATTTCGTTACCATTTTATAGAAATCATTCCAATTAATTTGTAAGACAATTTTCAAGCCCCAAACAAAATTCATCCAAATATAAGTCTCAACAGATCAATTTATGCAAATACATATGTTCTTTTATCGTAATACTTTTATACATAATTTTGTTACCATTTTATAGAAATCATCCCAATTAATTTGTAAGATAATTTTCAATCCCCAAACGAAATTCATCCAAATATAAGTCTCAACAGATCAATTTATGCAAATACATATGTTTTTTTATCGTAATACTTTTATACATAATTTCGTTACCATTTTATAGAAATCCTCCCAATTAATTTGTAAGACAATTTCCAAACCCTAAACGAAAGTCATCTAAATATAAGTCTCAACAGATCAATTTATGTAAATACATATGTTTTTTTTATCGTTATATTTTTATACACAATTTTGTTACTATTTTATAGAAATCATCCCATTTAATTTGTAAGACAATTTCCAAGCTCCAAATGAAAATCATCCAAATATAAGTCTCAATAGATCAATTTGTGCAAATACATATGTTTTGTTTATCGTAATACTTTTATACATAATTTCGTTTCCATTTTATAGAAATCATCCCAATTAATTTGTAAGACAATTTTCAAGCCCTAAACGAAATTCATCCAAATATAAGTCTCAACAGATCAATTTATGCAAATACATATGTTTTTTTTATCGTAATACTTTTATAAATAATTTCGTTACTATTTTATAGAAATCATTCCAATTAATTTGTAAGACAATACTTCTATTTGCTGATCAGAGTTGAAAGATACGGTAAAATACGGGTTTATTTCCATCACCCCGTATCTAACGCGTTTATTCGTTTATTTTTTTTGGTTGCTCCGTTTATTTCGTAACCTTATTATTATTATTTTTCGTTTACGAACTTCACGTTTCTAATAACGTATTTTTCTGAAACACAAATTATTATTTTTTCTACTCTCTTTTGCTTGGTATAGCCATTATTTTTGAAACCATTAAAATAATATTTTTTGTTGTGCAAACTATTGTATTTTCTACCCTCTTTTGCTTGGTATAGCCATTATCTTTCAAGCCATCAAAATAATGTTATTATGAATGCAATCTCTTATTGATGTTTGTTTTGTATGCGTAGGTTTTGTAATTATTTTTATTCTATTTATTTGTCATCAAATACATATTTTACTTGTAATTATTTTTATGGTAATTATTTTTGCATAGTAATTAGTTTTTCTCCTTTTCTCATGAATTGAACCACAAATATTCTAACCTGATTTGAACCTAGTTTCATGGACTGAACTGAATGTCACGTGAGAATAATCTACTCAAAACTGAATTACATCAAACTTCATTTATTTCATCCAAACAAATTAATTGCATTTAAGAAACGTCCTCCCTCCATGCCGGATTGCACTTAATTTTTTAAATGCAACTTAATTTTTTCACACTAAACAAATTAACATGGTAATAATATGTGGTCCACATTCATCTGGTTTTTACTATAAATAACACGACCATGGACCTAAAACCACCAGAGCTTCCAAATATGTCATCAAAGCATCACGCCCAAAGTAGTTCTGCCTCACGAGGTCACCGCAGAGGAAGAAGTGTGAACCTTCCTCCTCCTCTAGTGAACCCTCCTCCAGCACCAGTTCATTTTGCCCTTGATCCAGAGTATTTATTCATGAGGGTCAATAACCTATTGATAGAAGTGAATCAGCTGTGGCGGCTATGCCGTGCCATGAGACGAAAGATCCACCGCCTGGAAAGGGATTTCCAGGACGATTCTGACTCTGCCATAGTGGAGGTGTTGGGGGAAGCAAGTGACTCCAACGGCTCCTAACCCAAATATTGATCATTCTGTGCTTGTTCTGTGCTTTTCTCATGGTGCTCTCTGTATGTGATATTCTGCTTAGTTTATGTATGTATGACTTGTTCCATTTGTAGTATATCCCAACTTTTGGTCAATCTGTGGTTGTTTTGTGGTTCGCTCATGGTGGTCTCGTCATTCTGTGGTTATGGGGGAGATGGTTGTTTGTTTTATTGGGCTCCCTGA